CATCCTGTCCAACTCACTGAGTCACCCCTCGACTCACTGATCTGCGTCTTAACCAGAAGAGGTTTGCGGTTCTGCGACCTGACTCGCCGAGTCCAAAAACAGACTCGCCGAGTCCAAGGCAATCTTCAACAGACTCGCCGAGTTGTTCTTCCAACTCTCCGAGTCCATGCACATGTTCATACAACTCGTTGAGTACACCCATGTGACTCGCCGAGTCTCTTCAGTTCTCAATCCATACAGAGGCTTTTCGAGCCATGCAGGGGATCCAATCCATAGATCCACTCTTCTACAGCCTAACCCTCACATAAAGTTGCAAACTTTACGTGAAACCAAGGAGATATAGGCCCAAAACACACTAGGGCTTGGGTTTTAGACAAAGGGGCTTCACCAACAACTCAAAGACTGAAGCTTTATGACATCCTAGGCCATCATGAGTCTAGATCTGGAGTAGCAACCTCAGATCTAACTCTAAATCCGAAATAGATCTCAAAACAAGCTAAAGAACTCCCAAAACAACCACCAAGGATGAACCAAAAAGGAAATAGCTTAAGATAAGGGCTCCTTACCTCAGAGATGTGCCCAAAACTGATGTAGATCCCAGATCTTTACAAGCCCCTTGATGCTAGCTTCCAATTTATCAAGCTCCTTCCACCAATTTCCTCTTCCAAGCCCCAATCTTCTCAACAATGAAGCCTCACACGAAATTAGGGTTTTCTGGAACTCTCTGGGGGTTTAGGAGGATGGAAGAGGGACATAAAGTCCTTTAAATAGGGTGCAAACCCTAAGATTAGGGTTTTCTCATTCCAGCACCAACTCGTCGAGTCCAAGCCTCCGACTCGGCGAGTTGGTCACTTAATGCGCGATCCAAACCTTCTCCGACTCGGCGAGTAAGCGTACCTACTCGTCGAGTCCCTTCCTTTATTTACACTTAGCACCCTTCACTTCTTGTTCCGAACTTGGGATGTTACAAGACAAAACATTGTTAATGCTTCTTTAAGCTCGTCATATTTATGGCAACACATAAAGATCCATAAATTAAAAAAAACACGAGACTAACTATTGGAAGGGATCAATCTGATATAGAAAAAATCGGAGATTTTGCAAAATGGCTGTTGGATATAGGAGAAGGCAAACTTGGTGGTATCAACGATGGAGAAATGGTTATTGATATTCCAGATGATATTCTCATTAATGATCCACATGATCCCATAGGTTCATTAATCGACTTCATATATCCTTCAATTTTGGAAAAGTACAACAATACAAGCTATTTTCAAGAAAGAGCAATACTTGCTCCAAAAAATGAAGTGGGTCAGGAAATAAACGACCGTTTGCTATCGAAGTTTCCAGGAGACGAGGTTGAATATTTAAGTTCAGATAGTATATGCCAATCTGAATTTGTCCATGATCAGTTTGATGCAAATTTATATTCACATGATGTTTTAAATGGTCTGAAAGTATCGGGTTTACCAAACCATAAGTTAGTTTTAAAAATTGGTGTTCCCGTTATGTTGCTGAGAAATATTGATAAGAAAAATATATTGTGTAATGGGACAAGACTCCAGGTGATATCATAGGGCAAACGTGTTATTGAGGCACGTATCATATCTGGAACTAATATTGGAAACCACACTTTTATTCCAAGAATGTCATTAACTCCATCAGAAAAGAAAATTGCCTTCAAATTTCGAAGAAGACAGTTTCCATTGGCTGTATGTTTTGCAATGACCATTAATAAGAGTCAGGGACAGTCGTTATCGAAGGTTGGTTTGTTTCTCAAACATCTCGTCTTTTCACATGACCAATTGTATGTTGCCTTATCTAGAGTTCAAAGCAGGGAAGGATTAAAATTGTTAATTTTAGATAAGGATGTTAGTCTCACAAATAAAACTTCCAATGTCGTTTATAAGGAAGTTTTTGAGAATTTATAAGAACCGTTTTTCTACCATCTTTTATTTTGTTTTCGTGTATCACACTTCATCCATCATATTAATTAATTAATTTATAATACTTTATTGTATTTGATTTATTCATGTTAATTACATTACAATATCATAATTCTTCATTATTTCTAAAATTTGATATCTTTTTATTTACACCATCAAAAGTATAATTATATTTCAATTTTTAAACCGTGGAGTTCCACGGGTTTAAACCTAGTAAATAATAAATGTCTATAACATAAATTCTATTTATTAACTAAAAAAATACGAAAACATAAATACTTTATTTATTATTATATATTAGATAAAAAATTAAATACAATGGTCATTAGATGCTTAAATAAGAGTTTTTTTTATTTATTTAAAGGCTAAATATCCTTGGCCTTACATTATTGGGCATACTTAAAATGAGCTTTAGAAGCCTCATCCAATAATACATGTATTAACACCCTGTTTCCGAGTTCAACTTAACAAGAGAAAAGAAAGGAAATGAGTGTAAGTGAGAAGAAAATAAAAAAAACCGATGTTCCCCATTTCCTTCCGATTTGGAGAGAAAGAAAAAAATGTTTAATTTTCCTTCCACTTCTCTCCAACTCAAGAACACAAAAGATAAATTTCTTTTCCTTTCTTTTCTCTTCTTTTCTCTCCCTACTTTCTATTCTCTTCTTTTCTTTTCTCTGCTACAACTGGGGATTATGGTTATAATGGAAATAAACAACACAATAGCCAAAACCATAATCCCTACCTATCCACATGGCAACTCCTCTCCATCCCATTCCCTTATGTTCGACACAAGCAAAGAAGGAAGAAAGAAAGTAGAGCAACTTTTATCGGTTGATTGTTTACTAACTATTTGGATTGAAATATATAGATACATAATATGTGTAATGTATCTTGATTGTGATCTCCCATGTTTAAAGGGTATTAACTCTAAACACATATGGTTGTTGTTAGTTGAGACTCTTTATCTAAATAGATCCATCTTTTGGTGTTATAAAATTATAGAATTTTCTTTCCACCACGATTTCTTTAATTGTTTTAGATTCCATCAATCCCGACAATATTCAAATGGTGGTTTAGAAGGTGAGGGGGAATAGCTCGTTCAATCGGTTATTATACTATTACATTGACTATTCACCAAAGGACTCTAAAAGATGGTTCATTAAATGTTGTCAGAATACCACCAAAATCTAATTCATTGATAGTTTCAAAATCCTAAGAGAATGAAGTTACTTCATAAATACTTGATCTTCATGAGCATTTTGTATGTGTTTACTTTTTATGTTAATTCCCAGGGCCGGTCCTGAGGATTCAAATGCACAGGACGAGCCGCACAAAAAAGGCCCTTAGGCCCTAACATGTGATGAATTAAATTATATAAACTGAAGTTTTTTTTAAAATGATGATAAGTTTCAGAAATCTGCTTTTCTCGTTTGAAAGTGTGAATCATAAGTTATTTAGAACAACAATGCAACCATTACAAATAATGAAATAGAATAATGGAATGGGATATGAGTCATTACACTATGTTCTGATATTTTGGTTAAAAAACTATAAAATATTAATAATTAATAAAGAAAATGAGCCATCCTACCTGATTGAACAAAGAAGAAAGAGAGCCACATTGAACAGGAAAGAGTTCATTAGAGTACCTCCCCAACTGGACAGAAAGGTTATTTTACTTGATATTCATTCACAAGTCACAATTAAACAAAAAACATAATAGGATAGAAAGGTAATTTTACTTCATTGGATGGATAGTGATAAACACTAGTCTCATACTAAGCATCATTGCCCCCAACATAACTACAAGCAAAGGTAGAAACAGAAAAATGCAAAGGTTGTAGTGCCCAGAAGACCTGGTGAAGGAAGGACAATTTGGTCAATGTAACAACATTAATGTGTTTCTTCACTCACATATAGAATAGGATTCAGAAATTACCCCAAATGTCATCCAATTTTTATGAAAACCTCATTTAGGAATGGAGAAAGTGGAGGGTCAATCAACATATAATGATGTGTGCAACCCAAGCAATTGAAACAATTAACCTAACAAGGGGAACACAATCAATCAGAACCCAATTTTAATAAATATGAGATTTGATTTTGATTGTAAAGGAATTTAGAATTACCCAAAGAATCCGAGTATAAGCTTTGCAAGATAGCCAAGAACAGTCATACTTGTTTCACTGTAAAAAGTCAAAAAAAAAATCATATAAACCAAAAGTCGAATCTGAATTAAGCAGAAATACCAACCAATAACTTTGAGGTTACCCTTTTCAAGCTTTTCTGATAAATGATACACATTCATTCGTTCCTAATTCACCAATTCTAATTCGATATCCCTTGTCTGATTAGTGATTAGCAATCAATTAACAGAGAGGGTAAAAGTACTAAAACCCTTACCTGAATTCTGATAAAGTCGCTAAATGTTGAATTGATGATGATCAATTGAAAATCGCTTCTGCCTTCTGCCGCGTTCTTGGTTTGTGATGCGTGCTCTGCTTCTTGGATTCTCAGTACGTACGTCTCCCGTTTGCTTGCTGGTCAATGATTTGTACTTAGACACTAGGTCTGAATCGTTTGATTTCAATACAGTAAAAGAAAAAATTGGGCCCCATCAAAAAATGGCCCTGTTCCTATGCCCAGTTTGCCCATGCCCATCACCGGGCCTGTTAATTCCATTTATACCATTAGTGCATAATTAAGAACATGAATCCACAAGGTTGTGGTTATGAGACAATTAATGAAGAATATGAGGGTCTTGCAAGGAAATAAGCCGAATGCGATGCCGTGAGGGTAGGGGTGGCGGTGGGTTCCATATTTAATAAGGGTTTTAATCAAAATCAATATAAAATTGCTAATATAAGTAAGTATGGATACTTTAGTAATTTCACATAGACCGGTCAATCATTGGGACCAAACCGCAAAAAAGAGGCATGAGACGAAAATCACATATTTTTATAAACCGTAAGGACCATTTATGTCATTCACTCTAATTTATATGAAATTATTTGATAAAAGTTTAGCGGAAATATGTTGCTACATATTTGAAAAACACAATTGTATTCCGAACAGGGGAAATGGTGTTCTTGCCGTTTTCAATGCCCGAGCAACGGAAACAACGATGGAGAAGAAAGGTGACTTGCATTACAACATTGCAGACGAATAATAACTCATTTGCATACAACAAACTCTTCTCGTAAGACTGTTCGTCAGATCTCTCTCTGTTTTCCTTTTATTTTTTCGTCCATTCCATCTCAAAATCTCTGATGTCGAAACATAGGAGCAAAATTATGCAGCATCGGTAGTACGATTGGCAGAAAACTGCCATTGCAAGGGTTTTGATTTAATTCCGCGTTTTCTTGTGAAATTAATCAATGTTTTTGAGGGTTTAGGATCGGATGTCATTTTTCAATGTAGGTTTAGGAGTATGGTAGTTTAATTCGATAATGGTGGTGAGGATTTTGGGATTAACTCGGGGAGATGATGAGTCACCGAGGGAGATCACGCGGAACAATCAATCAATCGATAATGGCGGGGAGAACGGATGGTTGATTCGATTTTTGGATTCCGCTTTCTTCTCTGAGTGGATTGCTGTTAGTTATCTCTACAAACATGATCACTCAGGGGTTAGGGATTATCTCTGCAACCGTATGTACACTCTTCCATTATCTGGCCTTGAAAGCTACTTGTTTCAGATTTGTTACATGCTTGTTCACAAACCTAGCCCTTCACTTGATAAATTTGTCATTGATATATGCTCAAAATCACTTAAGATAGCACTGAAAGTGCATTGGTTCCTTATTGCTGAGCTTGAAGATTCTGAGGATAATGAGGGAATTAGTAGAATCCAAGAGAAATGTCAGATTGCAGCCACTTTGATGGGTGAATGGGCACCTTTGGTTAGACTTCAAAATGAGTCAGCTATCAATTTGGGAAAGAATAAAGTACTAAACAGATGGCATTCCTCAAAGCAACGGTTACTGTCATTAACATCATCTCACCAGTTTCGTAAGTCTTTTTCATTCTCACCTTCTTCAGGGAACAATTTGCAGGATGAAGGTAGTAGTAGTAAAGCATCCCAAGATGAAAATAATATGTTCAAGAAATTTATTCCTAGTCAAAAAGTCCGGGATGCATTGTGTTTTAGGAAATCTGTATATAAAGATAATGAGGAATCAGAAAAAGATGGTTTTTTTACAAGACTTTTAAGAGACTCTAAAGAAGAGGATGTAGGGACATCCATGGAAAGGGATGATGAAGACAAGGAGAAAGATGAGTTTTTCAGTAGGTTTTTAAAAGATAGTAAAGATGAGAATGAGGTGACATCAAGCTCAGATAGTTTTTTAAAAAGAATATTTAGCAAAGGCGATTTGGAGTCTGTAGAAGGTGATGATGATAAAGAAGGGTATTTTAATAAGTTTATTAAAGAGAAATTTGAAGACAAACAGAAAGATATTGCTGCTAATGATGATGAGGAATACAAGGAGGTATATCCATCATTTGAGGTTTCTGATCCTTTGAATCTTTTAATACTATCTACAAAGTTCTGCCATTATCTTCTTGCAAATTTATTTTCTGTTTTTTAGTAATTACTTGACATAGCTACTTAGAAGCAATTGTTTTCTTGGCTAACACAGTTGAATATGCATTTGATATATGTAATGTTTCTTTTACCAGAAGCAACCTGGTTCACCAAAGCAAAAGCATGACAGATCCAATCCTAAACCACCATTGCCAAATACAAATCCTTCACAATTTCGTAAAGGAACATATCATGAGTCACTTGAGTTTGTTCAATCCTTGTGTGACACATCATATGGTTTAGTAGATGTTTTTCCAGTTGAAGAACGCAAAAGTGCTCTTTGTGAGGTTGTGCTTCATCTTTCCTTTTAATTTTCTTCTCAACTTGGGTAAAATTTTGTTATATGTTTGCAAAACATTGCTTCCTATATACTAAATCTTTGCTTTATGTCTGTTGTAGTCACTCTCTGATATCAATGATCATGTTGTTGCAGCTCAGAGTAGTGGAGGTCTCTCTCTCTCTCTCTCTCTCTCTCTCTCTCTCTCTCTCTCCATTTACAAACAACAATCATTTATGTGAACATGCATGTATGTATATGGATATGGATATGTATCTATATACATACACACACTTATATAAACCATGAAATAGCTTCAATGAATTGTATAAAGAAATGAATGCAAACAATTCAAGATCTTTTGTAAACTATAGTCATTTGCAATTTGTTCTCCATTGATTAGTACGATTAAAATAATAATAATAATTTTTATATATTTAACTTTTACAATATTTGGTTGTATGATAGGCTTATGCTTTCCCATGGGGAAGGGAATGTATCGTGTGGTTCACATTCCAGAAGATGAAGCTGTTCTTCTTAACTCTAGGGATAAGGCACCTTATCTAATATGTGTTGAAGTATTAAAAAGTGAAACCTCAAGGTAAAAACACACACACATACACACACACACACACTCTTCAACCCTTTTATGGTTATTGATGATTCTTTTTGTATTGAGTAGCAACACAAAGGACCAAAAACTTTCCAAGGGTGGAACCCCATTAGCTAACGGAGATGCAAATTTACCAAAACGACCTCCGTGGGCTTACCCTTTACCAAATAGACAAGATATGTATCTTTCTGGTTTTAATAAGATTTCAAGAACCACTTCACAAGCTATTGATGAAGCAATGAGTAGCTTGTGGGATTCAAATGCAAAGTTTGTGCAGGTGAGTCTTTCAGTGGAGAATCAAATATCCAAGTCAAAGTTTGACCATGAATGTGGTCAAACTAGAGATGAAGATGGTGATGATGTGGAATGGGTGAGGGTTGAGTTGAAAGCGGACCCTGGGGTCCACATGGATGACATAGTGGTTCAGGAACCGCCACGTAGGCGGGAGCACCGCCGGGTCCCGAGTATGGTAGCTTTTGAGGAAGTTAAGGTAGTTTTTTTTCTTTTCTACATATTATTTTTTGCTAAAGATATTTTCATTATGAGTTTAATTTTCAGATTTCATGGTAATTATTCAATTTAGTTTTATTAAATATATATATTATATATGTCAAATGGATATTAAACATATTTCTTGTAATTTATCTAGCTACATATCTTATTTGATTGAAGTTTATTGTTATATAATAACATTTTTTTTCTTGATTTGTAAATTTAATTCCATTTGGGTGTGTAGTTAAGCATAGTAAAAAAAATCAAAAGATGAAGATAAATGAAAAACTAAAGAACAGTAAGAGTGAATTTGGGGGAAAAGTGGAGCACCCAAAAACTTATAAAAAAAAAAAGAAAGGAAACAAAATGGAGGGTTGACTAGTTTTTAATACTAACGTTTTTTTTTTTTTTTTTAAAGGCTGCTGCATTAAGAGGAGGAGCACCTCCTGGACTTTGTGTAAAGAGGTCTAGTCAAGAGTCATCAGAAGCAGAGTCAAAGGTGAGAGATTACATTTTTTTTCTTATTTTTTATTTTTAGATTTGGCATGAAATTTATATAAATGTTTTAGAGATTTTTATATGAAAACAGGATGTATTATCTGGTGAACTTTGGGAGGCAAAGAAAGATAGAATTCGTCAGGCTTCAGTATATGGAAAGTTTCCTGGTTGGGATTTGGTCTCGGTAGGTTTAAAATTTTAAATAGTTTACAATTTTAATTTTTTAAATATGACTTTTTTTTGGGTTTAATGAGCTTTTATTGAGTTCATAGATTTCTTTTATAAATAAAAGTTGGTTAAGATAATTATAACAACATATAGAAATAAAGTTTCAAAACAATATACTGTATTTACATATAGTATAAAATAATCATATGAATATTCAGTCTATTCCTACATACAAATTAAACAACGACTCATTCCATTCCTAAACAAATCCTTTGTGAATCCATGAATGGAATGGATAAAAGATTTAAACTTTTCTTCTTAATCTATTTTAGTTTTGTTATTTTTTAGGTTATTGTGAAAAGTGGGGATGATTGTAGGCAGGAACATCTGGCTGTGCAACTTATTTCTCACTTCTATGGTATGTATGTTAATCTTATAATTGTACTTGTTAATTGTTATTGCTGCTTTTCAGTTTTATAACAAATTACACAAGCAAATTCTACAAACAATTTTGTGCATAATCTGTTTTACAAAATTATAAATTTGTGATTTACACCAACTGTAAATTTCTAAGCTTCTAATGTTATATGGTATATACAGTGTGGAATGAGACTGATTTTCCATACAAAATAGTATATGTGGAAAATTATTAAATATTTTTTTTAATAATTTAATAAGATGTAGTGTTTATGTCAGATATATTCCAGGAAGCTGGACTACCTCTGTGGCTGAGACCATATGAAGTTCTAGTGACTTCTTCTTACACAGCTCTAATTGAAACGATTCCAGATACTGTAATTAATGTTACTAAACTTATTTATTATTTAAGTTTTAAGTTCTTGTTTTTATTAAATAATTTGCTCCTGGGATCCTTGTAGGCCTCACTTCATTCTATCAAAAGCAGATATCCTGATATCACAAGCTTACGTGATTTTTTTATTGCCAAATATCAAGAAAATTCTCCAAGTTATAAGCTTTCACAGGTAAATGATATTTACAATTTCTGCATTTATTTTAAGGGTTGATGGCAGGAAATAGCAAACATACTTTAATTGCTTAGTTTATTTTAGTATTTCTACTCCCTATTCTTTAATTCTACAAAAAGCATGGGAAAGAGGTATAAATATAAAATATCTCCCCAATTATTAAAAATGATGCCATTATAATTAATGCATGTTTCTATATTACAGTCTACAAATGACTACCGAATATATATATATATATATATATATATATATATATATATATATATATATATATATATATATATATATATATATATATATATATATTTTTTTTTATCATAATCTTAATTGGGTTTTTAATGAGCTTTTATTATCTTATGTTTTTTTAATGTTTTTTTATATAAAAGGTTCATTTCATTGACACACCAAACATACATAATCATGGAATTTAAATTCTTGTTGCAGAGGAACTTTGTGGAAAGTATGGCTGGATACTCCCTGGTTTGCTACCTCTTACAGGTGACTAAAAACTACTAGTAGTCTTTGTTTTTCAACTCAATAATGACCATAGCTATTTACAAATTTAATATACAAAATAAAATAATTTATCAGTTATCAAAGTTAACAGCAGTTTTTGTCACTGCTTTATTTTCCACTTTTGCAATCTTAGAATGTAAATGAGTAGGAAATGATTTTTGTGATTTTACCCTTCAAATTCTAATTCCTTTCTTGAAAAAAAAATTGTTTTGCATTTTCAACACATATAGGTGAAAGATAGGCACAATGGCAACCTTTTGCTTGATGAAGAAGGTCATCTTATACACATTGACTTTGGCTTCATGCTCTCCAATTCACCCGGGGGTGTAAATTTTGAAAGTGCACCTTTCAAGTTAACACGTGAACTTCTTGAGGTAACTACTACTGCAAAAAGACGTGAATACCCTTCTCATAATTGGTAATAGCCATAGACGATTTTGACATTGGTTTTTGTCATTTTGTGTTAGGTTATGGATTCGGATGCTGAGGGAGTTTCGAGCGAGTTCTTCGACTATTTCAAAGTATAATATTTATCTTTTTTTTTTTTAATAAAATAAGTTGAGAAAATCTTTTCATGATTTCAGTGTTTATCCAATCTGAAATCAGGTTTTATGCATCCAAGGGTTTCTGACATGCCGAAAACATGCAGAACAGATAATTCTACTTGTTGAGATGTTGCAGGTAATGGAAGCTTCATCATTTTTAGGGTTAAATACAATAAATAGCAATGTACTTTCATTCATTTGTTTATTATAATAGCATCCTACTATTATTCTTTTAAATATTTTTATTACAACATTGTATTTGAGAAAATTTTCAAAGTATAATGTCCTAAAAATAAATTGTAAGTACAATGCTATAATAGGTACATTTTCAAGCCTTAATAAGAAAAAGAAAAAGAAAAAGAAAAAGAAAGTACAATGTTGAAATAGAAATAAGTAAAAGTAGGATGCTATACTGTTTAATACTGTGTTTGGCGTGCATTGGACCGGGACAACAATTGCAAAAAGACGTAAATGCCCTTACATTCTTTTTCACTTTCTTCTCCAGGACTCAGGTTTCCCATGCTTCAAAGGTGGTCCGAGAACTGTACAAAACTTAAGGAAACGTTTTCATTTAAGTTTAACAGAAGAAGTAAATTTATATATATTTATTTATTTATTATTATTTTTTTATATTTAAAAAAAGTAACATTATTTTGGTTATTTTGTTCCAGCAATGTGTGTCCTTGGTGCTTTCTCTAATTAGCAGCAGCTTAGATGCATGGAGAACACGTCAATACGATTACTATCAAAGGGTTTTGAATGGGATACTCTAATATCACTTTCATTCGGTTCCATGAAATGACTATTTAGCCCCTGGACCAAGCTGTCTTTTCTTTCTGACTTAATGATGGGGGGCATGACTTAATCCGGTAAGCTTTATATCAGTGTTTCTTTTTCTTACTTAATGTACAAAGAACGCCTTCATATAATACACAAGTAAATGAAAGTAAGTTAATATTTCTTGCATTAAGCCCTAATAGATAAAGTCAGGGAAATGAGGCTTTCCCCATTAAGTCATATCTTTTTACAAATTTCCCACATTTATTTTTTCCTTACATTTCGCCAGGTGTACCTCCATTTTCTCAAATATTTTATTAAATATTATTTACTTTATCCGGACAACACCCAATGGGAAACAAAGGAACATAATGCAAAGATTTTTCTAGATGAAAGGGAAAGGATGACAAGTTTTTTGGTCCGATTGGTGGGGGCGCCCATCGATGACATTTACCATTTTTACCCTTTTAATGTACAGGGAAATTTCATGTGATTATATTAGAAGCAATAGTTCGATTGCTTTATCACCATTTTTTTTTTGCTACACAACCGCTAATTATTGTATTTGTTGTAGTGTATAGTAGTAGTATGATAAGTGTTTTTTTGATGTTGTTTATATTGGACACTATGTATACAATCGCAAGTGGTTACTAAGGTATTGGTAATATCAAAGTTTTGAAAGTTGTTATCTTCGTGATACACATGTTACAAGTTGTGTTCATGGGTAATCTTTTTATTTTTATTTTGTTTATTATTATTATTATTTTTGATCTAGCTATCATTGGATTAGCATTATGTACACGTATATAAATTATAATTGTTCATTTATGTGATTGATCGAGTTTGTTTTAGTAATCCTATTTACAGATTTGAGGTTACATATTAGTCTAAGAAATGCAAGTGGTTTGATATTATGGTTAAAAAAAATATGTTGTCGATTTTGATAAAACTAGGAAAGTTGGTTGCTTTGTGGTACAATTTTCCTTAGGATGGAAGGAGTCATTTCCTCCTAACCCACTCAACTTACCACCACATCATCTTCACATCAGTTTTTCTCTATTTTCTTTTTCTCTTTTCCCAACTCACAACATATGGAATTAATATATTTTCCAACTCACTTAATTTTTAATTTTAAAATAAATATAAACTAATAAAAATCATACAAAACTAATTTACAAAATATTAAAAACCTACAAAACTAATTCACAAACAAATTTAAAAACATACAAAATTATTTTGGTATAAGGACAATCAATTAAACATACAAAAGTACTAGAGACAAATGAATCATTTGTCAAAGATTTAGTCAAATTGAAACTCAAATGCTATAAAATAATGAAATAAGGACAATTAATTAAAAATATATTTCGACCGAAACAAAAAAAGTTTGCAATGTAATGATCTAATTCTAAATCTTATATCTTGGGCCCAATAGAAGTTTGATAAATTATTAGTTTTATTTTATTGAGCCTAATATTCAGCCCAACTGAAGAACCCTAAAAAAGTTTAGGGCATTACAAAAACACTTCTGATTAATACGTTTTGAGTTCCCAAAATAAACAACAACAACTTTCTCCTCCTCCAAGCAAGTTAGGTTTTTCCTCCAAGAGGATCCACCCTTCAATTCAACGTAAGAAGAGAAGAGAAAGATACTGCTTCTCTAACCCGTTGCAAGCGATTAAAGGCTCTAGCTCGCTGGAACCGCGAATCAAGGATTCACAACTTTACGGTACCGTCGGTACCGCCTCAACCCATTCCCAACCGATCGTCGACTCCGTCATCCCTTATAGATATATAAAGGTTTAGTTTTGTAGAATGTTGACTTGAACAAATTGTCTCCTTGAGTGCTTAGTGGTAAGTGAAGTTTGGATATTAATATGGGCAAATTTCACCAAACAACAAAGCATTTTACCATTTTACCAAAACATGCAATATCATATTATATGTTTCATGTTACATGTTGCCTAAATCGGTAAAAACAAATGCAAGTTGGTTGCTATTATTGCTAAAAAAATTAGCGTGTTGCATAATTTGGTAAAAATGGGAAAGTTTGTTACTAGTTAGTGCAATCTACATTATTATTTTCGTACATAAAGATTTTGTGTTGGTGTAAGTCTTTAATTCACTTAACATCACGATTTTTATTTTGATGATAAAAATCTAACACGAAATAATATTGTAAGCTAACCAAGTAACTTTTTTATTTGAAATATATTATTATCCATGGATAAAGTCTTATCGGTATTCACACATCTCAAGTGATGAAGACCATTGAAGCTTCAACATATATATATCTTTTGTCTTAGGATTAGGAAGTGCGTCAACAAGTACATTTTATGTAGTAGAGAAGATTATTAGCAGATTGAAGTGAATTTCTGAAACATCTTTCGTATAAAGTGATTTTAAAATTGTTTTAAAATCAAAATTTCATCCCAAAACCAGAGTTTAAGTTTTAAAACATGTACGGATAAACGTTTTGGTCCCAATTCAGTTTTAGTTTAAAATATAGCGAGGATATTACAATGAATTTCAAAACATAAGTAAAAGTATGATATTACAACTAATATCATCTTCTAAATATCCAAGCCTCCTTCATCTCTAACTAGAGCAACATGTCAAAATATAGTGTAAGGTGTGAGAATGCATCGTGAGAATACAACGTGAGAATACCTGATGTCAACTCTTCGAGAGTAAAGGATGATGGCTATCATCCATACTCAAAGTTAAACCCCCGAAATAGTTTAAATCAATAAAATATCTCAATACCCTTATAACGGGCTCAAAGGAATATAATAGATTTGAGAAAAACGTATCAACAATTAAGTTCACAACATTAGGAGGAATGTAATGCATATGCTCCTAAATCCATTTCCCATGTCCATCTTAGTCAATCTCACAATGCAAATGGTGTTGGATTATTTGTCTAAGCCCATAACTATAATTGGTATACACTTAAATTGATAGTCGCACAATCCTTTTGGGTTGCCCTCAAGACTAGCAACTAGACAAAATGATATTTGGAGAGAGAGTTTTGATTTTATTATTGAAATAAATAATTTGTTAATATATTATGAAAATAATATATTAATTAGAAATAGTAATATTTAATTAATATTTAATCAGAAATTAATTGGAATTAATTTTAGGATTAGAGGAATTAATTAAAAGTATAGGGACTGAAGTGCAATTGTTCAATAGTTGAGCAAGAGGCAATCTAGAACCCTCCATATGGGTTGGACGGTTTCTTGAAGCCTAAGGGCTTCTAGAATGATCCCTTGTGGATAAACAGGAAAATGGATAATTACCCGGTTTAAAATAATCTTGGATTAAAGCTTATCTAGGGTTTCCTGACTACACTATATATACAACCTCAACCCTAAGAATTTCGGCCATGCTATTCCTTAGAGGGTTAGGCCGAAAATTCTTCCTATCTCCTTCTTCTCAATCGTCTTCCTTTGCTAGTGTTGGGTGTGAACCATTAGAGGCGTGACATTTGTGACACTTGCTCTCAAGGCTTCAACAACACAAGGATTTACATTATTATTACTATATAACAATCAATGTGTGATTCTTATAACCATAATTATGTATTTTTTTGATTATATACTAATGTTCTAGGGTTTATATTTTGTTGTTCAAGTTGTATGTTCAATTAGAGAAAACATAGATCAATTTTCAGGGTTGCATGTACACATATGATTTATATGGATTACATAATACCCATAAGTGGTATCAGAGCGTAGGTTTAGTTTTCTATTGAATTGATACAATGGTTGAACTTGAACAAGGAGAAGAAAACATAATCGTCATTATGTTCCGCCACCACGGTGTGGTGTTCTTCCACCACAACGTGGTAATTGTTTACCACGACGTGTTGGACAGTCAGATCCACAAAATTCGGATTTTCTGCTTATCTCATGATTTGATTAGGATAATTACCTAGAATAATGTTTTAAATAAGTAAAACTGAATAATTATCTACGTAATTAGATATCATTATCTTGAATTCATGATTGGTTTACTTTTAAATTAAAATTAATTTCTTAATTTTCGAAATTTAAAAATAAACCCTAGTATTTTGCAAAGTTTAAAATACATCCTTATGGATCTTATTATTAATTTAATTAAATTATTAATTAAAAGATAATCAATGAATCCATAAAAATGGTTTAAGTTTAATTAAATTAAAAGTTTAATTTATTAAAAGATTAAACCCTTGCTATTTTAAAATGTTTTAAAATACACCTTATACTATGTTTATAATTAAAAGTTATATATATATATATATATATATATATATATATATATATATATATATATATATATATATAACTTTTAATTATAAACATAGTATAAGGTGTATTTTAAAACATTTTAAAATAGCAAGGGTTTAATCTTTTAATAAATTAAACTTTTAATTTAATTAAATTTAAACCATTTTATGGATTCATTGATTATCTTTTAATTAATAATTTAATTAAATTAATAATAAGATCCATAAGGATGTATTTTAAACTTTGCAAAATACTAGGGTTTATTTTTAAATTTCGAAAATTAAGTATATGAGGCGTACTAGCGGTTTGACTGACTTTTCTTATACATATAATATATATATATATGTATAAGAAAAGTCACGAAGCCATACTATAAGAGGAGTTTAAGGAAGCGGCTTATAAAATGACAGCCATTGGGTATCTATTCTTATCCACCACTCTCTTGTATGGTGGAGGTTCGTTAGCCGAACGGGTTTGATAGGACAAATTAATCTCATTAAAAGTATAACGATAGAAGGTAACTATACTATTTTAAAATCTCACTATTAGTTACATTAGGAAAAATGTGAATTTGTATGCTAATCCAAGAAATTGCACATTACACTTTATAAGTCGTTAGTGGAGCGTGTATGGTTAACCGACACAAATAGGGGACTAATAAAGGGTGGTAAAGGGTGTCTTGATAATTATCGTTGATTAATGGAGTGTGTGTGGTTAACTGACACATTAAAACGAGATGATAAATGAAATCAAGAGTACCAAACTAATTTGCATGGTTATTCACATCTTGTTTGTGATCCTCAACATCCCAGTCACAAAAGTGAGAGCATAATCGAGATTAAACATGTCATTGATTAGATTCAATGAATCTCAAAAGATCTAGGAATTTCATAAGATTGAAATTGGTAAAAGCGTTACCCACCTAAAACAGATTCGAATTTGATTACGACATCCCTCTTCAAAGTTCGAATCGAAAATATGGATCCTAGCCTTAATTCAAATTTGTGGATTAATAATTAAGGATTATATATCAACTAACTTGAATTCTCTTTTCTACTATTATATATGTCAAGTCAAGACAACAATCGTATTTCTTGTTTTTTTGGAAGTTGTTTTCCTCTACCTTCCGAAGATGATCTTCCACGTTCTGATCAAGGTGAAAGTATGTTCTCTTCTTCGAGCAATAGTGGAAATAGATATCAAGCTTCTCCAACTCTTCCTCCTCCTCCTCCAATAAGTCTCACCATGCCACGAGTTGAAAGATACGAAACTACTCAAGCCCTATTGGCATGCAAGCATCAAGATGAAAATTCTGTGTGTACGCATGTTCTGGAAATGAAATCGTTTATTGACAAATTGGACAGAATGGATGTTGTTTTCCTAAGGG